ATACTTACTCGTGAAAAAGATATTTGATATTGAATGTTGAATTCACGTGATCTCGTCCATTTCCCTCCATTCAGAGTAGCAAATCAAACTTTGGACACCAGAATGGAATATTTAATCATTAATGAAGATATGAAGTTTATCTTGATTCACTGGTTGACACTATGAGTACAAATCAGGCCAATTAAAACCATACTGAGTCAGAACCGTGCGGTAGGTCTAGCTGTCTCGATCAACTACTCTCTTACTAGTTGCTTCGACAACATACACACATTCATTCACTCACAAACAAAGGACTGGAAGACAAGTAACTGGATCTACGTGAAGTTGCTGGCTAGAACGGACAAAGTTAAAGTAGCGATTTCGGAGTTCTTTCACGTTCTATTCTTTCGTAGTTGTATTATTATGTTGTTAAATTCCTCCTTTCAGAATACCTATTTTCCTCTCCTAAGTCTCTCGTTTTTCGTCTCTAAATCTTGTAGTTTTCATGTTAAGTAATAAGGTTGCTACCACAGCATACATTATAACAACCAGAAAAGCCTGCAGAGGTATGAAACCCGAAGTCAATAGTGGGTCGAAAATTCCAATCTCGATCGATGGGTTTGCGATAAAACCCAAACCGTCACTCGAAAGCATTCCTCAGAGTAGTTTCCATAGTTCGGGTCACTCAACTCAAAAGTCTCTACTAGGTCTTAAAACGAGGAACCGAGAAATCACCCCTCCAAATCCTTTTCCTAAAAAGACCAGGAGAAAAAACAACACAGTCTGTCGTACAAAAATCGCACCATGATCTCTGTATCGCCTGCTCAATGACAGTCGAAGTCAGTGACACTTCTCTAGTAAATGAGTCCATTGTCACTGTGATACTACAGTACCTAAAGAATAGCACGTGTTCATATTAAATCACCCTGTCCGTGTTTCTGGTATATCTGTGCACGATGAACAGTAACTACGGCATTGGCACAGTCTCAGTCTCCACATATATTGGATATATTGGATATTGGACGCTTCGAATTTCACGTGGCCTCGCTGACTTTCTCACATTTACGGGAAACAATCCACTTTAGGGATACTTTATCTACCCCGAATCTATGAAAAGATTTCTATATTCATTAGTCGACAATCTGAAAACAATTACGGGGAAAACACGGAACCATTCGAAGTCAGAACCATTGTGAGGTAGGTCTAGCTGCCTCATTCAACTGCTCTTTTTCTAGTTGTTTCGGCAGCACACATAAATTCACTCACTCACAAACACAGGACTTGTGGACAAGTTACTGGATGCACGCAAAGTTACTTACCAAGACGGTCAAAGGAAAAGTTGCAGTTTTGGAGTACTTTCAGACTCCATTCCTTGTAGTTATATTATGTACCACTAAATTCTTCTTTCCTAAATCCCTTTTTTGCGTATCTCGTATCTTAATCATCTCTGTTTTCACCTCCTAATCCCCCTGGTATCATGTCAAGTAATATGGTCGCTAGTACATCTTACACTATAACAACCAGGAAAACCTGTGGAGGCAAAAACCCCGTGGTTATTAGTGCTTCGAAAATCCCAATCTCGTGCGAACGGGTTGTTAATAAACCCGAAGCGTCAGTGGACAGATTCCCTCTCAGTGTCCTTATTTTAGGTCACTCAACGCAAACACCACATATGAAGCTATAGTGCCTCCATATAAACTTGAGTTCTCTCATATTTAATTTGATTAGGCCTCTCGATTAATTTATGTAACCAAGCTATTTGCATAGCAACAACTCATTTGTACCATTGGTATTTTTTATTATCTGCTTTGTATGAGCTTGTGCGACTGAGCATTGCTTACGCTTACGCACTTACTCATCCTTTTCACTTTAATGTTAATGTCGTAATATTCCCATGAACTCACATGATTTGTATCGCTTGCTTTTGACCTTGTCAATCATTCGTCGCTTTTATTCATGTGTGTGCATACCTATTTCGCTTGTCATATGTCTGTCTTATTCTTATCTGACTATATATTCTTAGTCATACTCTATCTCTTTGAGTTGGCTCTTAGCCTTCTCCTATTCGCTTCGCCCATTCGCTCGCATTGTAATCCAAAGAGCTGGCTCAACAGCCTTCTCCCATTCGCTTCTCCGCTTCGCTTTGTGGTGTGCCTCGAATAAACGTATTCATCAATACGAGTTCATCTTCTGATTTATAAACCGAGCTTAAGAACACGCAGTTATCGGCACACTACAAAGCGAAACACCACCGTCCTTCCTAAAAAGACCAGTAAGCTGGTTAAGAATAGGAGAAAAAGACGTTTCAAGGCTCAGTCGACACAGTCAAACGCCCAGAAACCGCATAAGGATGACTGTTTTGCCTACTCATTACCAGTCAAAATATGTGACTGTACCTTTGAATGCAACTTCTGTAGTACATGGGTACATTGTTACTGCGACACTACAGTACCTAAAGAGCACTACAGATTCATGCAGAGTCACCCCTGCCCATGGTTCTGGTATATTTTCCCTCAGTATAGAGTATCTGAGGCATTGGCAAAGCCACAGATCCCACCCAAAATCAGCCCTATAGTCCAAACGACCAAATCAAAATCGCCTGGCACTAAACCATTAAAACAAGTGACCAAGGCTAACACAACCCTGCCTAACACACCGACAAAACTGCCAGTTGTTGTTAACCCCTTAGTATCTGTTAGCAATACAAAACAGTGGGTGAACGTGAAGAAGAGAAATACCAAAATCTCAACTCACAAGTGGCTACCACTCAAGGACAGGAACGACAGATCATACTCACTTATTTTATTTAATGTCCCAGTATCGGAAGGAAGCTTGCTAGAAGGTAGGGCGGCCTTCGACAAAGAGCAGTGGGATAAACACTGCACAACCCTCGGAATGTGCAAGGTCCCAGTCAAAATATACCGCCTTTTCAAAGGCCAGAATATCTAGAAAGAAAAACACCCTCCAATGAGGGTAACTCTTGACTCTGCACGACATGCTGAAGAAATCATCTTTTCATCCCAAAGACCATCGGTCACACTGTTGCGAAAGCCGACCTAGATCTGTGAGCCAACAGCAGGGAGGCCACAATGAACGCATCAAACTGACAGTTAACCTCGGTCAACAACCCCTGGCACAATACACGATTGAACTCACTGCACAGGCAAAAATCCTGTATAACTTGTTAGAAAACCCGACAACGGCTGCTGCTGCAGAAGTGCATCATGTGATGAGACAAACCACCAAGTGCCTCTGTAGCAACGTGAGAGGACTAAGGGGTAAGCTGTTAGAAATCAGGAGCATGTGCTCTCACGTGAATCGGAAGATCATAATCCCTGACATTGCAGACGGAGAAGTGAGCTTGCAAGGCATGACACTCTTCCGAAGCGATAGGATACACAAAACAGGAGGCGGAGTGGCTATATATATAAACAGACAATTAAAAGCCGATCGGCTAGACGACACCCTACTAACTGAAGTGACAGAATCATGTTGGTGTTGTTTCCACACAGACGGCACGAAATACTTGAAAAGCAAACTGGTTCAGGTAATACTGCAACTGCCACTTCTGGGGTTTGATCAAATACTCTTAGCCGGAGATTTCAATACCCAGTCTCTAAATCTCAGTAATCCGAGTTTAACTCCCACTGGTTGGTTCTAAAGACAACTTGGCACAGCCATTAGAAGGTCTGGGCTGACTGAGTACTTATGCAGTGCCACTAGATGGACTAAAGAGGGAAAGTCCTCAAACCTCTATTATCTGTTAACAAATGACCAGCTCCTGGTTGGGGATGTTCACGAGCATATACCAGTAGGTAGTAGTGAACATGGCACAGTCTTGTTTAACATGGTCATTAACGAAACACACACAGGACGAAGGCGAGCCCTATCTTTGCCGCGCTACGGCAAACTATACACGTATGATAGAGGTCCTCCCACATGCTCCATAGCCACAGAAGTGGTGGAGGCTGACAGTAGATGATCACTGGCAAACAGTGAGAGATATCATCCAGAATGCTGTCGTAGACAATGTACCTCAGTCACACCACACACCCAGGAATAGAAGAACCTGCGTTAGGCAGGGCACTGAACACTTGCTACAAGCGAAGTGGAGAGCATGGCACAGATGGAAATTCTCCTTGAAGGATTCCGATCACAGTTCTTACTTGGCATTTAGAAACAGGTGCAATACCAAATCCCGAAGTGATAGGAGACAATTCCAAATGAAGCTAGCTGCCAAAATAGAGGCAAACCGAAGCATCTATCTAGGTTCATGTCCAAAAGAAAGCCTACTAATCAAGGGTTGTGTTCTCTCAAAGGGCCAAACGGGGAAGAACCCACCAATCTAGAGATGGACGAGATCTTCAACATCAACTTCTTTTTCTCATCGCAACTTGGAATGCTTTCTTGGCGGAAGTGACCACGGCCCCCTCAGTGGACTGGCCTAAGAAGAGACTTGATAATCACGTACTCACATACGGATTATCATCTCCCTCTTGGACTAGCTGTTCATGATATCTGCTAGTTGTTGTCATTGCCATCTCCTCAGATCACTTTCTCAATCTATCTAGCCTCTCATCTCTTTTCCCTCCCCCTTGCTTACACTACGATCCTCTCTCACAATCTTCACTACCAATTAATAAACTAAATCACCTACACATCTTAGTTCTGAAATTTTATCAACATTTTATTTTATTAGCATTAGAATTTTATCCTTATTATCCTTATTACTCTCCTCATTGCAACTAACTGATCTTCGGTCTGGTAATGTGATAGCTGCTGGTATCCAGAAACCTTACTGCCCTGAAACAAACGTTTTCATTCAAATTCCGAGACATACAAACTCACAACCAACAGCCAACTGACTAGAATTAGACCGTCAAGTGGCTAGACCTCCATCCATTGGAAATTACCGAACACCTTGAACCGTACAGAAGGAACAAGAATCGAGCGCAAAGAAATCAATGGGTTTATACTAGATATGGATATTGGATATTGAACATCGTTGACATTTTTAAAATATGTCAGTGTTATCGATAATCGAAGAGGTCATATATGAACTAATAAAAGTTTTGGAATCAGGAGACATAAATGAAACCAAGAAATCGTATGTTTTTGATTTTCATATTTGTAGACATTTTCTGGAGCTATTACTAAAGAAACCAGCAGAATTCGGTAAGTATAACCCTAATCTTTTCGAAACATAGTGAGCTTTTGATGTAAATAGCTTTGTAAGCCTAAATTTCTTCAACTGTAAAACATAATCTAGACCTTATCAGTTATCTGAGGTAACTGATCATACAGGTAGACTAATAATCGCTCTGAAAAGTATTTTGCGTGCCTAATCATGAACAAACTAAAATCTATATTGTAATTAGTATCGACTAGAGTATAACAGTGCCTGAAATCTTTATAAACTTTTAACGGAAGGTTTAGTCTGTTATAATGAAGCTAGATTCCAGATAATAAGTTCGGAAGATGGGTACATTTGCAATAAAAGTAATGGTGAGTTACGATTAGCTGGAACTGAAATAAATCCACCGGTAATTCACATTCCAAGATGTTCATCTGCTAGTGAAAATCTCATATAACTTAAGGCTGAAGTTAAACAATTGATACAATTGTTGGTTTACATAGTTCCAGAGGTAAACCTGTACACAAGATTAGATCCTTGGAAAATGTTAGATTGCACGTGATATACCTAATCAATAGATTAAATGCATTGAGAGCTCTAGCCAAATTTACGTGTGAAAAACGTTCATTCATAGATTCCTACAAGACTTCATCTGTTTCGTTACGTAAGCAAGATCTTGGATAGTTCTTAGATTACGAACAAAAGAACTGATTTATTTCCAATCAAAGAGCGATAGAACAACATAAAATTTGCTGACAGTAATTATGTATTCTTATGAATTACTTTTTAGCAGTCTTATATCTGATTTACCAACATGATTTGTCTTTTCCATTAAAGCACGTCTAATGGTTATTTTGAAAATGGCTCATGAAGCTGTACGAGAGGACAAATTCATAACGAAACGGTACTTGTTTAGGTGTTTCGTATTAATTATCTAGATCCATATATTACTCAAACCCCATCTTATTCAAAAAACAGTCCACTATAGATCCTCTACTGTCAAAGATTTGTCAACAGCTTAACCTTCCCCGGTGCGCCCTTAAGATAGTAATACAGTTCATTTCATTAACAACCTTTTTCCTTAGAATGCTTCCTCCAAGTTGATCATCTATGGTGACATTCATTTTGGAACTAGATGTCAAGACGATGTTTCTAAGAAAATCCAGGTAGGATTGTTATCATTGGACATATTTTTAAATGTCTATTTCGTTTCTTTAGTTATTAAAAATTTTCATATTCATGTTGAAAAACCTGAATGACAGATATTTCACTTATCTACTTACTATCCATTCAAATTATTAAGCAAAGTCTTTGCTTACTACTTTTCATAATTATTCTGTTTAATCTTAGTACAGTTGAGACTCAGATAAACATGTATACAATTGTCTATATTTATTTAGACACTGAGAGACTGTTTTAATTTTTATTTGAAGAGATCAGTTTTAGATTCACTGACTTCATATATCTTACTGCGTAATTGTTGATCATCTTGGCAAAACAGTTGATAAATTCATATAAATACTGGCAAATCAAAACATTGCTCACTAATTGAGTAAACTGTTTGATTGTGTTTACCTGAATATTTATGTATATAGTTATATTCTCCAAAGACAGAATTTTCATACAACTATTCCTTAACAATGTTTTCGTAAAATATGAAAAAGACATCAGTAAATAAATACTGTAATAAAAGTAATCAGATTCAAAAAAGATAAAAACAGGAATGACTGAAAAAATTTGAATTAGAAGTCCACAAAATTAACTAGTCATGTAATGAACCGATAATTACTTCTGAGTTCAATAAACGTAACATACTGAGAAACGAAGCAATCACATTTGAGTATAAATCATTGTATACAGTGAATTGTATTGAGCGAAAATTCATTTCCAGAAAGTGTTAATGAAGCTTCTGATTGCTGAGTTATTTAGTTTCTCTTTATTATTTCATGGAGGCGAAAAGATTTCTATTTCATGTCAATCCAACTCCTTGTTCGTATATATTGATACGTTGATGGAATACCTCAAGTTTATACTTCATCGATAACAGATAAGTTTCAAACTCTTTTCTAGGGCTGAACACAGAATTTTATCATCTGATTTCATCCAGAACTCTGTTTTTAGTGATTTTACTAAATCCCCAATCCAAAAATATAATCAATCCAAGCTCTAGGCTCAAAAATTAACAAATTTACTAAATAAAATCTATTCAGGCAATACAAAATATAACTAATTTTTCCGAATTTCATCTCAAAACTAACTAAGTTTTTAGGTTTTCCTTGAAAATGGTTGTAACTAGACATATTTAGAAACAAACATTTTTTTCATAAATAATAATCCTCGTTATTTATATCATTCTATTTGCAGGTTACACCTGAAAGTTTGCATAGAACTGGACATGAAGTTATTATCTCAGGTAGATTACTAGATTCTAAATCATCAATATGCTTGCTTGTTCATCGGATATATATACAATATAGAATGTTTACCTCAATTTATTTTGGTAATTGAAAAAGATACAATTTTCCAGAAACTTTTAAATGAGAATTTCTATGAAAAATTCAAACCTTGTTTATTGGTTACGGTAATCTAAATATAAAACTTATTTCTACTTTTTATTTAAACAGGCTAAAGGTTACCCAGACTTGATAACTAGACAATTTCTTGCTAGAATAAACTGTTTATATTCACACATTCCAATGATTGGACTTTTTGATGCTGATCCTCATGGTATAATTATTAAAATATGTGATGCATTTTTTCACTTTATAGGTATAAATGTATTCTGCACTTACAAGTATGGCAGTATGGTAAGCAAAAAAAAATGACATTCCTTGTATTCAGTATGATAAGAAACAAACTTGACTAGGCATTTCTTGCCTACATAGATTTCCATGTCAGAAATTAAAAATATATAATATGACTACTAAGTATATCGATTCACTGACAGTTGAGACAATTATACATTTTATACAAATGTACAGAAGATAGTTATTGCATTTTAAACAGAAATCTCTATTAAAATTACTAATCGTTATTTATGTTCAATAGCTAGTTAGTTTGTTAGTTAGTTAGTACAGGAGCTACAAAGTAGTACACATTTTGACTAAATCTATTCTATCAAAGTATAATTATGTTGTTATTCTCTGTGCATTTTTAGTCCTTAGAGTACTGAAAATTATTCATCATACAAGCAATCATTATCATAAAACGCATGATATAACAATCGGTTGTTGACTAGACAGACATAATTTGAAGAGATAAGAATTCGGTTCATTTCCATTATTTTTGGCTATTGAAATTTATTAGTGATACATATTATTCTCCTCATGTCTTTCTCTATTTCTCGGCGTAATGTGTTCCTTGGAATTCCTCTTTTCCTTTTGCCCTGAGGGTTCCAAGTGAGGGCTTGTCTTGTGACGCAGTTAGGTGCTTTTCGTAGTGTGTGTCCTATCCACCTCCACCGCTTCTTCTTGATTTTCTCCTACACTGCAATCTGGTTTGTTCTCTCCCACAGTAGGTTGTTACTGATGGTATCTGGCCAACGAATCCGAAGTATTTTGCGAAGACAACTGTTAATAAACACTTGTATCTTGTGGATGATGTCTTTGGTAGTTCTCCAAGTTTCCGCTCCATACAGTAGAACTGTCTCGAGATTTGTATTGAAAATCCTGATTTTGGTTTTGGTTGAAAGTTGTTTGGAGTTCCAGATATTTCTCAACTGTAGAAATGCAGCCCTTGCTTTGCCGATCCGTGCCCTCACATCTGCATCGGATCCACCTTGGTTGTCGATGACGCTGTCCAGATATGTAAAGGTGTTGACGTCCTCCAAGGCATCTCCGTCAAGAGTGAGTTGGTTGGTGCATGTTGTTTTGCATCGGAGAATTTCGCTTTTTCCTTTATTTATGTTGAGACCTACTGCTGCAGAGGCTGCTGCTACAATGGTCGTCTTCTCTTGCATTTGCTGTCGCGTGTGTTATGGAAGAGCCAGGTCATCTGCGAAGTCCAGATCGTCCAGCTGCGTCCTAACTGTCCAGCTAATATCGTGCTTCCCTCCAGATTTCGACGTCTTCATAATCCAGTCGATGACCAGGAGAAAGAGAAAGGGTGAGAGTAAGCAACCTTGCCTGACACCGGTCTTCACCACGAAAGAGTCTGTTAGCTGCCCTCCGTGCACGATTTTGCAGTTTAATCCATCATAAGAATTCCGTATGATGTTAACTATTTTCTCAGGCACACCGTAGTGTTGAAGAAGCCTCCACAGTGTTTTCCTATCCACGCACGCTATCGAATGCTTTCTCTTAGTCGATAAAGTTGATGTAGAATGGTGAGTTCTATTCAAGTGATTGCTCCATAATGATCCGTGATTAGCAATTTGGTCAGTTCGGGACTATTGCCGGTCCCAAACCCGGAAAAAGAAGGAGGGGTTGGACATGCAGTTGGCGCCTCCATCGCAACTAAAAACTAACTTGCCAAAAAAAACGCTTACCAGAACAAATAATAAAACTATAACTGTAAACCAATTACCTACATATATACAATCTCGTCTTCGGTAAATCCAAGTTGTTGATCAAAGTCAACTGTAAAGTTCAATAGTTAAATCTATAGACTTGAATTCGAAATAAAACATAAAGTTTACCATGTTAAAACTGAAAAATAATAATAATTAATGTTTGTTTCATCAATTTAGAATCCTATGATGCAAGATACAGATGGTAAACCAATAAAAATACCGAATCTTCAACTTTGTGGACTATTACCAACTGAAATCTCATTGTAAGTGTGTGTTTTTTTGAAAACCATTTATTTACAGTCTTCAAATTAAACAAACTGAATTGTTACAATTAACTAAAACTGATCGAGCACTATTGCATTCAATGCAAAAACGTACATACATTCAACAAGAATCAATATTATTAAAACAAGTAAACTAACTATCATATTTGACAAATTGAATGATTATTATTAATATAGATTAAACATTTATCATGGATAGAAAAGAAAGCTGAATTAGAAATTTTGAATACAATTCATTCACACTATTTAACAAATGAATATTTACCGAATAAATTAGAAGAATTATTAGGTATTTTACCGAATCAATGATTATTGATCAAAAAAAAATTATTGAATTAAAATTTTCTATTATATAATGTTTGTTTTTTTTAAATTGTCTTAAAGTGATATTATGATTTGAGAAAAAACATAAACCAACAAACAAACAGAAATCAGTCAGTCGGTTGCAACGTAGAACTTCATACGTAGTCGAACATGTTGATTGATCACATCAATTATCTGGCGAGTCTCATCAGCGTTGATAGCCCCTGGTGACTGAAGAAATCTCAGTGCGGATACAGAAAGCTCGATTAGCTTTTGCCAACCTGTGTCACTTATGGCGTAGGCGTGATATCCGTTCGCTAACCAAAGGACGGGTTTACTGCGCAGTAGTTCCCTCTGTTCTCCTATACGGATGCGAAACATGGCCGTTAAGAGTAGAAGATGTTCTTAGGTTACTAGCTTTCGATCATCGATGTCTCCGAAGCATTGCTCGTGTATCATGGGACAACCGAGTGAGCAATGCTGTCGTTAGGAAACGAGTGCTAGGTAAGGATGGCAGATCAATTGATGAAGTGCTGAAACCTCATCAGTTGAGGTGTTTGGGACATGTGTTACGTATGCCCAACCACCGACTGCCTCGTCGAGCTATGTTTTGTGGTGTAGGAGTAGGTTAGAAGAAAGCTAGGAGCGGCCAGACCAAAACATGGCAGAAATGCATGAAGTCACTGGCAAGTGGACTGAGTCATGTTGGTAGATGTAGACTACCTGGTTGGGGTCCGCGAGACGAAAGTCACGAATGGTTAGAGACCCTGAACGACATGGCTCAAAATCGTTTGCAATGGCGCAGGTGCATCCTTTCTTTGAGCTCTCTCAAATCCTAATCTTCTGGATTCGTCAGCACCCCTACCTTTGTCTTTCTAACGTTATTTCACCGAATATCTTCGAACCCTAGTCTTCTTCATTACCATTAGTACCTGTTCCATTTTTATCACTATGGGATTTGATTTGACATTTGCGTCTCTGTGCTAATGTGGTATGGCAACCTGAACTTATGTACGTACGTACGAAGTTCTACGTTGTAATTGACTGACTGACTTTGTTTACCATGGTTCTAGTGAGTGAATGTCATGCTAAGTAAGACATTTTGATCTTATCTTCAAAACTGTATTCACAGACGAATAACATGTTTGTCGCTTGTATGTGACTGACGAGAAAGCACGAAATGGTACTACTTACTATCTCAAAAAAAGTCTCCTCATTTCTCTAGAGTAAATTTAAAAGAATTCATATTATATGAATTGATAATGTCTTGTCAATTATGTTGTGTATAATATAATCATTAGGTTATAGGTGGCATATAAAACTTTCGAATGAATTATCAAAAAACTCTTGACTATTAAATAAGATAGATGGCTTTGTTCAAAGTTTTTCTTTACTGTAATGTTCTGATCTACAATGATGAATGAATGTGTCATCCTGTTACGTCCGTCACTTTGTATGCTTGAGGCTATTACGAGTTTACCTTAGTCGATAAACGCGAACGAGACAACCAACCAGCGTCCAGGTAGGCTACCTTGAATCCCAGCGGAAGTAAAAAAGGCTTTGTAAGCGTAGAAAGTATATTCTACAAACACCCAGCAATCACAGTACAATCAAGCATACAACTCTCGTTTATTTATACATCATAGAAACGTCCTTGAGACAGTCACAAAAATAGCACACTAAAATACACAGCAGCCAATCACAGCCATGGATTTTCCTGGTGGGAATTGAAATCTCAAGGTCAACTGATCAGCCCATGCTGGCAAACGTGAAAACCAAAATAAGGCATTAATCAAGCGAATTTTGGAGATCTAACATCCCCAACACATCCATATACCAACAATATAGATCAAGTTTCTTAATAGCTTCATTAAGTGATCCATTTTTATTTATCTTTGTTAGTAGATCAGAATATTAGTAAAGAAAAACTCCTTGAATGATTCAGTAGTGTACGCTGTGAAATCACTTTGACCAGTGAAGCGGAGTCATACTAAGCAGGCAAAGTGATGACTCTCTATGTAGAAGCGTATAAAGATAGTTTTACGGAAATTGCGTTAAGATGTAAAGTCACTCACTGTTCAAGAGGAATTTCACACCTATCCTAAGTTCAAATCATTTTCAATGAGCAATGCAAATGAGTGCAGACTAATTAGGAGCTGTTCAGTGCTTTCCTATTTTTACTCTAGTTTTACGAACAGATGTTAGTTTGAAATGAAGATTGTATTTAAGGACTTCTTACTTTCAGTAGAATGGAATGGAATTTATGCATTACGAAATAAACTACTCTATCGTTGAAGTCCAGATGACGAGTTTTATTTTATTCGTTGGTTAAATCAATAAAACTGTTGGTCGGAAATTGTTGTACACTCATATTAACATCCTGATTAGGTGACATTTGCTCTCACTTTAGTAGTTTTATATTTGTCTGTCGATCGTTTATTTAAAATGATATTTATCGATTGTATACTACAATATTCCGTTGACTTAGTCAGTCAGTTACAACATAGAACTTCGTTCATGAATACATAAGTTCAGGTTGCCATTCCATATTAGCACAGCGAGATCGAGTAGTCAGTTCAAATCCAACAGTAGTAGAGGTATTAGAACTATTAGCAGTAATAGAGAATATTAGGGTTGGAAAATATGATTCGAAAAGTATAATCCAGTGAGATAACTTTAGAAAGATAGTGATGCTGAGGAATTCAGAAGGTTAGAATCTCATAGAACACCTGCGCCATTGCATACGATTTTCAGCCATGTCGTCCAAGGTCTTTAAACATCGGTGACTTTCGTCTGGCGCAGCCCAACCGGCTAGCCTACATCTTTCAACATGACTCACTCCACTTGTCAGTGACTTCATAGATTTCTGCCATGTTTTAGTTTGGCCACCCCTAGCTTTCTTCCAACAAATTCCCACATCACAAAACATAGATCGTCGAGGCAGTCAGTGTTGACCTGATGTAAATCAGTGTTTGGTTAATAAATAAATCTTTATTTCTCTAATCTTAAGTTCTTATTTTTGCATCGAACCATATCAATCAGATTCCTTCGAATAAGTAAAACCATCTCTTCAGTCATAACAGATAGTCATTATGAAAAAGCAGTACACATTTAATTACAAAAACACATAAGCCAACAAAAAAGGAGCAATCGCTTTTAAAAATGTATGGTTTTTGTATGAAATTCAATGTATGGAGTTTACTACCTAAAAAATCGAATCCAATGCTTTCTTGATTAGATAAGCTAATGCTTGAAGACATTTTAAATGAATGACATGAAATTACTTAGTATGTGTGTTACATACTACTGAAGAAAACGTTTGGTGATAGTCATTCAGTGAAGGGAATAGAAACACATTGAAGTCCAACAAAGTATATTCTTGATAATAAGAAGTATAAGAAGATAAGATAAGATAAGAACGACCTAATGACTGTTAGGAGGTTGAAAGGAACCCTACAAACAGAATCACCACAAGTTGGGCATATTCCCACTATGAACGACCTACACGTCTGATATAAAACACTCACTGAATGCTGAATAGTGGCTGTGTAATACAGTAGTGACCGAATCCTACCAGTCCAGTTCTTGAATGCGACATCTTGTGGGCGCTATGTTTTTAGTATGAATAGAGCTATTTCGATTAAGTCCAAATCACACTGGAAACGTCCAACCACATTAATATTACGCCTAAACCTTCCTGGCCAGTGTGTCTAAACTAGCGAAACACATGAATTCAAAGCAACATAACACTGATTCACCAAAACTAGCGAGTGAAAACATTAGAATATGATTTTTTTTTAAAATCCAGTTGAAACATTAATGGTTAAAAACAATATCATATTACACATTAAGATCATCAACCAATCGTTGTTAGACCCCCATTAGAAACCTGGAAGATCTGAAAGACAGCCGTCTCGTTTTCGTTTCGGACTTATCAGTGGTAGTGCGCATCCACAATTCTTGCAACTCACAGGATTCGAACCCAGGACTTTGGGTCTTGTGCGTGAACGCCAAACCTCTAGACCGGCATCCGACCATGTTAATGTCTAACTCTCATCAATCCACAGCATTTACGCGACCTTACCCATTTGTCTATGGTAGTTACTGCGTGTACACTTAACAGGGTTGATAAACTCTACAGGTCACCACATCTTCTCACTAGAACTCCGAGAATTTCTTCATGAAGAGCATAGTTTAGGATTTTCCCCCACCTTGTTCATATGATTATGTAAGAAAAAAAATCAATTGATTATTTGAAAAAAGCAAAAACAAAAAACCAATTTTTTATTATACAACTTTAATGTAAAAGTTATTTTTTCTTCTTCATGAACTGTTAATATAAAACAGAATAGATAACTATTTCATTAACCATGTTGTGTACATGTACAATAGACCGGCAGCAGCAATAAGAAGAAGATGATATTGATGATGGAAAAAACATTTTTAAAAAATAATTTCAAAATTTATTAAATAAACTATCTTTAATTAATTGACCAGTTAAAGCATGTAATTGTTCCATAGCTAATTTTGTTGCATCTTTACTACATTTTGCAAGACGATCTTCCAATCGATCATTGTCCCAATTCATACGTGACATCTAGAAATGCAATATTATCATGTGAAAATGTTAGACGGGAAAATAAAAATGAAGAGGATAACAGAAATAATAATAATAATAATAATAATCTTACACACATGAAAAAAAATTGTGTGAGCAAATTCTCCGAGTTCTAATGAGAAGATATGACCAGTGGAGTTTATCAGCCCTGTTGGATGTACACGTAGTAAATCTCTAGACTGACCAGAGTTAGACATTGTAGGACACCAATGGAGGCCAATCCAGTGGTCCAGAGGTTAGGTGTTCGCACGCAAGACGGAAGGTCCTGAGTACGAATCCTGCGAAGTACATGAGTCATGGATGCGCACTGATACTGATGAGGCCCATACCAGGACGAGACAGCTGTCTTTCAATGCTTCCAGGTTTCTAATAGTGGTCTAACAATGATTCATTGATGATTTCAACGTGCGAAAAACACTAATCTCCAGGTACAATTAGAGTGTATCTTGAAAGTAAAGCACACAATTATGCACTTGAAAAGTGAGTATTCGTTTCAACTCCATCCAACATCTAATGTCGCATTTTTAATGAGTAATCAAATGCCAACACGCTTATTGAAAAAACGGTTACACATGGCTATCAAGTTGAAATGGATTTCTTATTTCTATAAGTGATTGCAAATTAAACTGTGAATTGCCTAAAGTCAGTGAGTCAGTTGCAACGTAGAACTTCGTATGTATGTATATAAGTTCATGTTGCCATACCACATTAGCACAGAGACGCAAATGTCAAATCAAATCCCATAGTGATAAAGATAGTAGAGGTATTAATGGTAATGAAGAAGACTAGGGTTCGAAGATATTATTCAAGAAGTAAAATTCAGTGAGATAAGGTTAGAAAGACAAAGGTAGAGGTGCTGACGATTCCAGAAGATTAGGATTTGAGAGAACACAAAGAATGGATGCACTTGGGCCATTGAAAACGATTTTGAGCCATGTCGTTCAGGGTCTCTAACCATTGGTGACTATCGTCTCGTGAACCCCAACCAGAGAGCCTACATCTACCAACATCACTCAGTCCACTTGTCGTCAGTGACTTCATGGATTTCTGCCATGTTTTGGTCTGGCCGCCCCTAGCTTTCTTCCAACCTATTCCTACACTACAAAATATAGCTCGTCGAGGCAGTCGGTGGTTAGGCATACGCAACACACGTCCCAACCACCTCAACTGATGAATTGTCACTACTGCGTCTATTGATCTGCCATTCTTACCTAGTACCCGATTCCTAATAACAGCGTTGCTCACTCGGGTGTCCCACGATATGCGAGAAATGCTTCGAAGACACCTATGATCGAAAACCAATAACCGACGAATATCTTCTACTCTCACTGGCCATGTTTCACAGTCATAAAGTAAGACGGAGCGAACTACTGTACAGTACACTCGTCCTTTTGTCAGCAAACTGATATCTCGCCTACGCCATAAGTGACGTAGGTTGGCAAAAGCCAATCGAGCCTTCTGTATCCGCGCTGAGATTTCGTCAGTCACCAGGCTATCAGCGCTTATGAGACTCCCAAGATAAGTGAAGTGGTCTACACGTTCGACTACTTCACTCCCTATCACTAGTTCAGGTGCCGATGTAATCCAATCCTGAAGCAACATTTTGCATTTCGAGGGGGAAAACCGCATCCCGAACATGCTTGCATTGTTTCTTGGGGTGTTCAAAAGACTCTGCATTTTGTCGGCGTCTTCATCGAATAGAACTATGTCATCGGCATATTCTAGATCAGTAAGCGACTTTCCTGGTAGAAGGTCAATCCCTGAAAATCCGGACGAGGAAAATTCGTACGTAAGTACGTACCAGATCATGATCTGAGTCTGAACATGTACCCCAGAACGAGCGATAGTCCTCCTTTATCGAAACCCACCTAACCCCCTACTCCACATCAGTGGTTGATAGCCATGTAAAATCATCTAGTTGGTTCCAGTGTGTTTAGACAACAAATATAAATAAAGTCACATAATAGAAAACAAAAACAAACAATTCAACTTACTGACGATCCAGCATGTTCAACTTTTTCAGCAAGATCTTTTGTTAAACCAGCTAAATAATCTGGTTGAGCTAATATACTCACAGAACTTAATGTATTCACCCAATATTTATTCCATAATGAATCTAATAAACGTTTATCTAACACTGATTTAAAATGTGATACTTCCAATGAATAATAATGTTTACAATGTACACCGAAATCTTCAATTTTATCCATTGGTATCGACTGATATTCAGATGGTCCATCATCTGGTGGTCGATAACCAACTGGATATGTACGAAATGCACCAAGATTTACTGATTGTACAAAGATGGAGAATAAGAACAAGAAGGAAACATTTTAGTAAAAACATTTTTGAATCAATCGAAAACACAAGATTTAAAAAAAAGAAGCAACTTGACAATTTTTAATGACAGAAATGAATGAAACTACTAATGGTATTGAGAGTAGTAGTAATAGTAATAGTAGTGTGGTGCGAGCTACTTATAAGTAGTATATGACGTGAGTGTCAACGTAATGTCTGGCAGCAGAAGATGGGGGAAGATCAAGAAAGGAAGAGTTAGAAAACAATGGAATTTGTATGAAACGCATGAATAGTGACAATGGATTGATGTTTTGCAGCAGGAACAGTCCAGTTCGATAGGATGAACTGATCTTTTGCAAATGAACAATTTACGATATGATTTTCCGATTTTACTGAGTAACTCTGTAATTTTCGTTAAATACAATTCGGTTGCCCTCACCTGTGTTCTCTTTCACAACAGTAGTAGTAGTGGTATATGATAGCTTACCGTTAAGAACATTACACAATGAAATCATCAATCAATCATTGTTAGACCACTAACAGAAACCTGGAAGCATTGAAAGACAGCCATCTCGTCCTGGTCTCGGAATCATCATTGGCAGTGCGTATCCACCTCGCAGGATTCGAACTCAGGACGTCCAGTCTTGCGTGTGAGCACCTAAACTCTGGACCACTGGACCGGCCTCTAATGGTGTTAATGTCTAACTGTAATCAATCAACAGATTTTGAACGACCTCACCCATTTGTCTATGGTAGTTACTGCGTACACCCTACACGGCTGAACTCCACTGGTCATGTCCAGAGCATGCAGATTTCTTATGGTCGTCTAACAATGATTGACTGATGATTTCAATGCGTAAAATGTTTCCATGATAATTCATTCATTCAGTTTGTGTATTATATGTCCTGATAATCGTTACCAAATAACTCTCAAATAAATACATGCTCTGGTGATAAGTTTTTAAAAGAAATTGCTGTGTTGGGGACGACTTAAATAAAAAGCAGCAAACTTTGGAAGTCGTTTTTACTCGGTTTTCGTTTGCACATAATGATGATACGTCCTGATCAAAAACATTAATTAATCACTCTTAGACGAGTCATTCGACACCTGAAAGCAATGGGCGGCCAATTCATCCTGTTAATGGACTCATCCGCAATAAGCATCTACGATTTACACGCGCGGATATCGAAGCCAGGATCATGGGTATTGCGCGTAAATGCTTAAACTCTAAACCAATGAAACGGCACCTATCGATGTTAATGTCTAAATTGAATCAATCCAATATATTGCGACAGCTCATCTATTGTGTTCGATGGATGACTGACTGTCTAATAATCACCGCAACCCCTTAATGAAAACTATCTAGTGCTAACTAAAGACTAGCCACATGAGGAAATTCTCAGAGTTTTTGCGGAAAGCCGTGGCCATTATAGTTTTACCATATCGGCTGTGGGAGAGTTTTTTACCGAAGACAATGGATGACCTCTGGCAATATAGTGGACTGATTGGAGTTAGATATGAACACTATAAGATACCGGACTCAGTCGTCTAGAGGTTAAGAGTTGACATATATGATTGAAGATCCTAAGTTCGATTCCCGCTTATATTATCGTGGATACTCACTGTTGTTACGTCCCATACTAGCACAAAACAGCTGTTCAGTGCTTCCAAATTGATTTCCGATAGTGGTCTAATATCAATCACTTCGTGATTTCAATGAAACTCAATAATCTGCACAAACCGATAATGGAAATCACATATTTTTTAAGTAACTAGACTATATATATATGCATAGTCTAGCAAAAATTTCAGACAATATAACAGTCTACTCTTAACAAGAGTTAGTAGTATATGAAGAAAAAAGCTAAAAAAATACCTTTTCCGGAAGATATTGTTCGAATAGGATCGATAACAATAGCAACAAATGGTTCTTGATAAGTTTGATTTGTCAATTGAGTACTAACATCGATACCAGATAGCCAACATCCATAACCTGGATGAGAATGATACCAACCGAGAACATTTTCAGTACGACCTACACGTGCAACTATTTCTTTATAAGTTGTCATATATTCATAAGCTTCTGCCTATAGAGAAGAAAATAAATGATAATAGTCGAACGAAAAAAAAAGTATTGAATAATGAAACTTAGTTAAAATGGTTTTATTCACATGCATACAATATGATTAATATTGAAAACATAACAATGAATATACTGTTGTGGTGTGAGCTACTTATAAGTAGTATATGACGTGAGTGTCAACGTAATGTCTGGCAGCAGAAGATAGGGGAAGATCAAGAAAGGAAGAAGAGTGGGAACACAATGGAATTTGTATGAAACGCATGAATAGTGACAATGGATTGATGGTTTGCAACAGGATATGATGGACTGATATTTTGCAAATTAACGATTTACGATATGGTTTTCCGATTTTACTGAGTAACTCTGTGATGTTCGTTAAATACAATTTGGTTGCCCTCGCCTGTGTTCTCGTTCACTACAAGTCAAATGGACAATTGAAGTGATATCGTTCACAATCAATCGATGAATTAAACGTTTGTAGAATGATACGACACTATACAATAAGTCAATATGTTTAAAAATTATGGGTATAACTAAACCCAACCTTTGTCAACAAGATATTTTTATATAGAATCATCAGTTATGAAATAGTCAAAAACAGTAGTGTAAAAAAGTAATAATAAGCTCAAATTATAATGTTTAACAATGTGTACAGATTTTTTTTTCAGGGGGAACATAATTGAATACTCTCTCTCTGATAATAACTAATAATTGAAAAGAAACGAGCTTTAGAAACAATCCGTTTTTATACGTAAAATTGACGGTCGATAACAACATGAATGAACCAAAAAACACTTACTTACCTGAGCATTGACACGTGTTTCTGTGCCTTCAACAGGTAATGGGGAGCTGTCGACAACAATCATTGTTTGATGAGCCACTTTACCGATTAACAATCCCATAACCTATAAAAATAAGTTGTTGTTTTTAGTTTTTTTTTGGTACAAAAACTTAAAGGATAGTTTCTAAGTCATTCAGTCAGTCAATCAGATACAACGTAGAACTTCGCAAGTAAGTACAACAGTTCATGTTGCCGTACCACATTAGCATAGAGATGTAATTGTCGATTCAAATACCATAGTAGAAGAGGTAGTAAAGGTATTAGAAGTTATCGGAGAGATTAGGATTAGAAGATATTATTCAAGAAGTATGATTCAATGAGATAAGTTTAGAAAGTAAAAGCTAGAGGTGTTGAAGAAACCAGAAGATTAGGATTGAAGAGAACACAAAGAATAAATGCACCGGCGCCATTGCGAACGATTTTGAGCCATGTCATTTAAGGTCTCTAGCCATCGATTATTATCATCTCGCGGACCCCAACCAGGTAGTCGACAATTACCGACATGGCTAAGTCCACTCGTCAATGACTTCATGGATTTCATCCATGTTTTGGTCTGGCCGCCCCTAGCTTTCTTCCAACCTAGTCCTACACTACAAAACATAGCTCGACGAGGCAGTCGGTGGTTAGGCATACGCAATACGTGTCCCAACCACCTCAACTGATGAAGTTTCACCACTTCATCGATTGATCTGCCATTCTTACCTAGTACCCGCT